TTTTTTGTCACGGACGAGACTCTGCATGTCACACACCAGGGAAATAGTAACGCACTGGGACGTCTGCTGTGTTCGCGCCCTTATCCCCCGGGGGGGGGGACTCCCTATGAAACAGACGGGGATGCTCGTCGTCTCGCTTAGGGGTGTAAATTTTGGATTTTGGTCTCGCCAAGGGTGTTCCAGGCAAAGCGCCAATATTTTAAGCCGCCAACGTCTCGTTTAGGGTTCCGCGAAGAAATAGAGAATTACGCGAAGAGAAACAATTGAAATTTTCTTTTTAACTTGTTTCGTTTACGGTATTACCTCAACATTAACTAGTTTTCTATTTTACCAAGTGCCAAAGAGACAATGCATGAACAGGAGCGGTCTCTTTTAGGGGTCAAAATTTGCTTAAGCCACGCCCAGATGGTCTCCTTTAGGGATTAAATTTAAAATTTCCGACGAGCATCCCCGTTTGTTTCATATGGGAGTACCCCCGGGCCTTATCCGTGACACTATACCCCACCGATTGCAATTCGCTCGATGGGAAAGCCATTGCCAAGCTAAGACACAACAGCTTAACGTGTGTTTTTCACCTTTTTTCGAGGCAAGTAGCGAACGGATTGGGATTTAACAATTTTTTTTTTAACAAACTGACCGATTTGGTTATCAAATCGTAGCGGATCGGCGGATTTGCATACCCCTATTCACCCTCCTCCATAAACGTACACTACGGCTAAGGCGGTCGCCAAGGAGTTTATCAGATTTGTGAAAAATCTCCTCACGTCTTCAAAACTTCAGAGCCCTCTAGAACTCGTTCGAAATGAATTGTTTTCATTCCGCCAAATATTAAAAAATGCTTAACTCGAAACGAGAACTGTATTCAGTTGTTTGAATATTGAATATTACCGGAAACTCGAACATTACTTTGATAAAATCTCTAAACTGGAAAGAATGCTGGAGGAAACAAGGTTGATACTGACTGCAAATGATGAATATGAAAATATTTCAGATGCTAATGTTCGCTGAGATAAACAGATCGTGACCTGCCGCCTCAAGTTCGAAGAATGGAGAATGTTCACTATAGTTCGCGTGTTTGGCAAATTTTTGTACATTGTACAATTCACTATGGCTGAGATTGTAGCTTCTGTTACGTGGTCGAAATCTCTCAAGAATATTCCCTATTTTGATTCAACTTTCGTTGAGAAATTGCTCGAGAAAGATGGAAAGGTCCCAAAGAAAGTAATAACCCGTGGTTACAGCAATTTCTGCGAAGGCTACATCTTGATATCGAAGGTAAGTTTCGGTATTGACGAGTTGTTCAGGTTATTGTTCAAGATGGAAATATTTTGTTCGAACAGTTTCGTGATTCACGCCATGCGTACCATTTTTTCAGATATTATGCTGTGTCTGACAACTCGCCGGTTACGGCTCGATTCTTACCTCAAAATCTAGCCCTTCATCTCGCTTTATAGCGGCAATCCATTTCGATCTCAATAAAGAATTTGAAGGAAAATTGAAAAAAAGATAAATTCTTGCCACTCTGATTTCTCTTGTCGTGCGTACAGAAGTTAACAGAGCAATGATCGTGGGCCATGCTTACTTGTCATATATCCCTACTGTAACACTAGTGTAACACACCCCCAAAGTTTATGCCCGTCCAGCCTCGATTTGGTGCGACATGGAATCCAAGATAGCGCTGCGTGAGAAGGGCAGGGTGTATTGAGCTAGCCGGGAGGCTATTATAAATATTATTATAAATCAGTACGGCTGCTATCGAAGGTCACGGACAACGCTCGCTGGTAAAATCACGGAAACAGATTTGCTTATCCGAAGCCGGTTAGACCTTTCATTGCGTGTTGCTGGATCTGACCTAAAGCTGAGAGAAGCCATCATATACTGGGTCAAAAAGAGAGGTAAAGAAAGCGTACACCATATGTTACTAGACTCTCTTGCAAATTTAGAGGGATTTGAGGGAGTTTTATTATATTTCTACTTTCAAAATTGCTCGACTTTCGGGGGATGCAGCTTTCACTTCTAAGCGTCCGTTTTTCAGTGTTCGTTTGAAGTTTGCTCGCCCGACAAATTACAAATTTTGTCACATAGGGAGTCCATTTGTGTATGCCAAGCGTACTCTGTAGAAATTCGTTCCAGCTTTGTGATTTCAGCTCATTTTTGACAAACACGAGAGATCTCTTACCTACTAAAGGACGACGGTGTAGAAGCGGCATGACCGCACAGATTCAATTACGTAATAACGGTTATTAAAAAAATTGGTTCATACTTCAACCTGTGCGTATATCGAGATATTGATGCACGCAAGAAGTTTGGATAGCACGAGAGAAGCGTAAGGCTTGCTTGAGGTGCAGCCGAGCTGAGAGCAATTCTAAGTTCTTGAGTGCTCTCCATACCTCCTGGTTGCATTCATATCTAGATATACAGTACGCACACGAAGCACAAACCAAACCATATGTCAAAACAAGGTATCGTATGCCCGGGGGGGAACTCGAGATATTCCTGGGTGGGGAGGTGCGGCGCGGCCCCTCATTCCCTGACCCTGTTTAAGACAAATATCGCTGATTTTCCTACCCTGTTTAAGACAGAATTCCGATTTTTGATACCCTGTTTAAGACATTTAATGTGCCTGGTATCAATGCCAAAATAAACGGAATTCAATATTAATTAAAATTAGAGCTTCTTCCAAGAAAAGATATCCTGTTTCAGATAAAAATTGATAAATCGATACCCTGATTAAGACAAAAAATGATAAATTCGATCCCCTGTTTAAGACAAAAATCTCGAAAAACATACCCTGGCTGGCAGCACATCCCCATTAAGCCCTTATAAGGGAGTACCCCCCCCCCCGATCGTGTGAAATCCCTAACAAATTGCTTGTAGCCAAAAGAGAAACTAAGGTGTTCTATAATTGTCCAAATCGAAAGTTAAAATGTTGTTTACCTAATGCCATGTGCAACGAAGGTTTCAAAAGACTGAAATCTGAACCAATCAGTTGCTTTCGTCTTTGACAAAACAATAACCCACTTGGGAAAAAAAAATTGTTCCATTTTTTTTTACACTGATTATCTATTATCTTTGCCTTCCTCTTTTTTGAAGCTCCGCTAAGATTGGGCACCAATCAATAGATAAAGAAATCTCATTGTCACGAAGACAAATTGCAAGGACTTTCAGTTCAGATCTAAACTTGCTTGTTGCGCTATATTGTCAATGACAAGTATTCAGTGGTATTCTGGTGTTCTATTAACATAAGTTATGTCACTGTCTTAAGAAGTAGACAGCTAGCGATATTAACGGCAGTTTCATATTTCAAAGTCTACAATGAAATAATGGACAATATATTTGTATCAGGGACCTAGCGCCGAGTTCATCGAATATAAAGGGTGAAATTTGTTTAGCTGGTATACAAATTGGTGTCTCGGTATTTTTCTGCTTTCATTCATTTATTTACTCGATTATCATTTCTTTGCAATTTGTTGTTGTTATTACTGAACTGGCCAATAGCTAATCTGTGACTTTGTTTTTTGTTTCCCATGATCATATTATTCGAATCACATGTCAGGCTGTCCGTTTCTTCGAAGACGCTTTGCGCGGTGTCATGGTTCAAAGCCAGACTATCAAGCATCGCGCACCCCGTTCCTCACGCCTAAATGATGTACTGCCAAGAAATATTTACATTAATCTCTACTAGATGGCCCGTGACAAAATGAACTGAATATCAACTCGGCTACAGTAACACACATGAAACATCATTATTTTGCATGGACAGATGTAAACAAGTTTGGCAGGGGAAATGGGCAACAGCTGTTGTTTATATTCTACAATATGAATAACTTGCAATAAAATCTAAATTTTATTTTCACAACCACTGCTGACGCTCCCCCAGTGCTGCAGTTGTTGATCATATTATGTCTATTAGAGCCGTACTTTACAGTATACAAAACGCCGTAACGAGAAGCGGTTTATTTGTTTCCTTTTTCTTTCATGGTAGCTGGCGATTTGTGAAAATCAGTAGCTATTTGTTAACCAGAATACAACACCAATCTGTTAACGGATCTGCCTGGCTAACCATGCTTAACTTTGTTGTACACGAGTAAGCCTCCCGAACACTTGGACTGCCTGTTATCTTGGCGCGATATCAATCTTAGTAACAAAAAACACCTTTTCATCATATGTTTATCATTAATCTATTTTTGTCTTTATTCCGCTTTAAAAGCTGCTTCCTTTCACTTTAAAAATGGACATTATACCACACTCGCTTGCTATTGGATAGAAAACACACCACACAATTGTCTTCTTTGTCTCTGGTATGATGATAACTTGCTAGAGCAAGAACACCAGTTTAGCATGTGATTCAAGTCCGTGTTGTCAGTTTTGGCAGGAATATTCGTCGACGGTAAATTTTTCAGCGACAAACCAGCTGAAAAGAAGGTAAATTTTATTTCATTGTTTTACCAATTCCAAGTCCAGTTCTGTATGAGAAATCAGACCCTCAATTTCATTTGCACCAATTTCAAGTCATATATCTAATCTTTAAGAGGCTAAAAATAAATTTGGGGTTGCGCGACTGACTAAATCAATGTAGTCACCAAGATCAAACTGAATTTCTACCTCCAAACGAACGCACAGTCTAATGTTCCTTTCCTAAGACTATTATAGAATGATGAAATTATTCGTCAACTTGAATGGTAAGTCTCCATGACTGTGTTATCACTTAATATATCGATGAGTGCTTATACTCTTTTCTTTAAGCAAATTTACACGGCCACAAGTGTTAAACGCAATTCTTCTATTCGAAATAATTTTTAGGCGCGAACCATTTACTTTTTCCCACTGTATTCCCTGATTTGAAGCTGACAATCTTACTCTGCGGTAAATCTAATTAGAAAGTAGCTTCGACTTCACGCGAGGAAGTTACGCTTAAAATAGAAATTTTACAAGGAAAACACTTTGATCGTAGAAGTAGGAGGTGGGCCATAATGAGGCGAAGGACTGCATTTCTGAAGAACAACGGCTGTGGTATCACGAAGCTTTGCACGGTGGTTGGATCAGCGCAAAAATATATTTATTTCATCAAAAGCCTTGAAAATCGCTGACGATGCCGGTCAGTGGGTTTTTAAACGTGAAGTGTTTATTTGCCTTTTTCATTTGCTCAAGGTAAAGGGTCGCCGACTTGAATATCAAACATTAAACGGTTTGGCGAGAGCCCCTGAGCGATTCATTTTTAGGGTCTTTTTGCTGTCGGTGTTTTTCAGAATTATGAAAATCTTATTAGAACCGAGAGTCACCCCGAATTTGCTTTCCTTAAAATGCAAATTTATATGAAAAAGTTGCTTTTGTTTGCCGGCTATGACAGGTGTGTTGCAGCTTTCCAAACAATAAACCAACCGGCTCTGAAATTGATTTTTAGTTTTCCGTACTTGTTTCATCTACGCGCCACTTAGGAACAAAATTTTCCATGATCTGACCAAAACAGAGAAAACGAGACACATAGATATTCTCATATGACTAAGCTGAAGTTATTTTGATCGGCGAGGGGTATCCCATCTTTCACTCACTCATGCGTTGAAATTACTTGTTGGCACCAAAGTAATGACTGCCGCAATTTTCAATTAGTATTATTAGTACTATTTCAGCGCAGGTTTTTACAGTCTGAATGAGGAAAATCCATACCTTTTCAGATATGCGATTTTCGAATAAAACCAAGCTAGTCCTGGGCTACTTGGCTTAAAGTGTGGAACTCCGCTTGAGCTTTCGTGCATCAGTCGAGAATTTGCACCTGTGCGGCCGTGAGAGCACTTTAGCATTTCAAATTTAAACTGACAAAGGTGACAAGGGCAGAAAAAGACAGCGATATGGAAACCAGGCTCTCGTTGTTGCTGCTGTGGCTCGCGCGTTACTCCGGTCGCGGAAAGATTTGAGACCAACTGCATGGGGAGAGGTTTGCCTTGGGTTGGTGCCAGACCCCCAGCAGAACTTTTACCGACTCTTGCGGGCTCATTTCCCAAAAGCGTGGCAAAAATCTTCAAGCGTAAAAAGAGATCCACTCATAGCATAAGCTAGTTTCTAGCTAGGCCCTCTTAGTACCAGATCGTGCAAACACAACGGTCAAATGACTGCACATGTGCATTTCGTTGTATAATTTGTTGTTTAATCTGCAAGGGTAGAAGAAAGGTTCTGTCACTTGCAGAGTCCACGTTAAAAACTGTTTGGATAATCTGCAAGGGCAAAATAAAGGTTCTGTCATTTGCAGAGTCCACGTTAAAAACTGTTGGGATATCTGAAAATAAAAGAAGACTAAGATTTAATCTTTCTCCAAAATCCTTCATTCATTTGTCTTAAACATTGGAAAAGTTAGGAATTAAACCTTTTCTTCCTCACTTTACGCTAGAAACGTGTTCGGAAATCCCTCTTATTATTTTTAAACTCTCGTGCATGCGCAGTGTTTGACCGTTGTGTTGATCGTGCACGAACCCTTACCATTTAAATCCAAGGGTTTGTGACGTCATAAATTGAATTAAGCAGCCGAGTGTAGAAGTTCACTACAGATACATACATACATACATACATAGTTTATTTGATAACGCAGGTTACAGAAAACGCAAGACTGAAGTCCCGATGTGGACCTGCCTATCTACTATTTAAAAACTAAGGTGTATACATGTGAATAAATAGAAAGTCAACAGAAATTAAACAATAAGTAATAATAATAGTACAAATATAAATAGATAGGACTATGAACTACAATTTAAGAATATAGTTAAGAACTAGGTAAAATAATTGTCAAAGTTTTAAAAATTTAGGTATGATTTGATTAAGATGAGATTAATAAAGAAATTCCTCATTCCTATTTCTTATCATGGAAGATTCCTTATTATAACTTATAGAATTAATTAAGTCCTTACTAGATCTAAGTCTTTTTTTAAAACATTCTAAGCTAGAAGACTTTTTGATCGAATCAGGAAGTGAATTCCATGCAATGGCAGCTCTATGCCTAAAAGTCAGCCTGCCAATTTCTGATTTAGGACTTGGAAATTTAATATTCATGGATTTCCTCAGGCAGTGAGATGATTGTTTTAACATTACTAGATCATTTAAAACATTGGTATTGCATCTATAGTAAGATTTATAA